GTGTGGCCAATCCATCTCCATTTCTTCCTGCCTATTTGTTTCACAATCGGTTCCTGGTTGGTTCGCTCCCAGAGGTCTTTGTTGCTGATCCTTTCCGGCCATCTGATCTTGAGTATTGAGCGAAGACATCTGTTAATGAAGGTCTGTAGCTTGTTTGAGGTGCTCTTTGTGACACGCCAAGTCTCTGATCCGTATAGTAGTACTGACTGACTTCACATTGGAGTTGAAAATCCGGATCTTATTTTTGACGCTGAATGTTGTTGACCTCCACACAGACTTGAGAGTAATGAAAGCTTGCCTTGCTTTCCCGATCCTTGCTTTGATATCCTCGTCAGTTCCGCCTGTAGTTGAAACGATGCTACCCAGGTAGGTAAAAGAGGTTGTTTCTTTCAGGTTCCTTCCATTTATTCTGATTGCTGTCTGTTGTTGTTGCTGTGGCTGTTGGTGTTGGCCAGGAACCTTCATCACCTCCGTTTTCTCTATGTTCACCTGGAGTCCTATCTTTGATGCTTCTTCTGCCAACTTGTTGCTTTTCGCTTGCATATCTTCCAGTTTGTGGGAAAACAGACATATATCATTGGTGAAGTTTAGATCCTCCAAGTCTTTTGTGTGGATCCATTTCATGCCTGTCTCCTCGTTGCCCACCGCTGTATGTCGCATTATCCAGTCTACCATAATCAGGAAAATCATTGGCGACAGTAGGCAGCCAGCTTGTTTTACTCCTGTCCTCACTTCGAAGGATTCCGGTAGTTTCCCGTTGTGGATTACTTGGCATGCAGCATTGTCGTACAGCTGTTGGATGAGATGTATAATTGTCGGCGGCACCCCGTAGTAGCGAAGTAGTTTCCAAATCACCTCTCGATCGATGCTGTCGAAGGCCTTTTCAAAGTCGATGAAGTTGAGATAGAGAGGTGACTGCCATTCCAAACTTTGTTCAATGATGATCCGTAGTGTGGCGATTTGATCAATACATGACTTGTTTCTCCTGAATCCAGCTTGTTCCGGTCGAAGTTTTTCATCCAGGGCTTGTTTGATCCTTTCCAGGATGATGCGGCTTAGTACTTTGCTTGGGATGGACAGGAGCATAATTCCGCGCCAGTTCTTGCATTGACTTAAGTCTCCTTTCTTTGGTAGTTTGAATAAGTATCCTTTCTTCCAATCCTCGGGTACTTTGCCTTCTTTCCACACCTTCTCCAGTAGTGGCGTCATCGAGTCCGCTGTTGTCTCTGGGTCCACTTTCAATGCCTCTGCTGGGATTCCATATGGTCCTGCTGCTTTCCCAGCTTTTAGCATCTTGATTGCCTTCAGGACTTCTGATTTCGTCGGGGGGTTGATGTTCACTGGTAATTCTGTTCTTGAACTCTTTTAGATAAAACTCGCATCGAACGACCTATATACCTCGCTCCGCAATAGCAGGTGAATTGCTAGATACACATGGAAGTGGTCAAATGCGATAGTTTATCTTTAGAGTAGTTGAAGAACAATGGCCGGGAGGAAAATGTCAGTCGTAGTGTGGCAGCGAAGAATGTCCTTCTGAGAGCAGTAGATATCCTCTTCTTCCATGTGTATGTGCATGAGTATATACATTAGGTTTGTCGGACAAGAGTAAAAATTAGCTAGGGTTGTTGTTTATGTCATCGAAATATTTCAAAAAAATGTGATGAATAATCAAATTGTAACTACCGGGGGGGGGGGGTGGCGGTAAAGATTGTTAAGAGAGTAGTGGTGATGAGTTGTCAAAGAATAGTTGTTAATAGTAGTCACTGCATAAGAGAAGTTGAATAAGTGTATTGTGTAGTTACGTAATAAGGTGAATAAATAAATGGTGAGTGGGTTTTGATTAGGATGTAAATAGAAACGCAGGAAAATATGGAATTGTATAAGAGTGGTAAAGGAATACAAGAGTTATAAGGAATCAGAAAAGCAGGTACATAAGTCAGTAGAAATCCACATGCTCATATTTTTCATGTATGCATATTTGTTGATGCAAAATAGTGTATTTATTTATTGCCTGATGTTTATATTTAGGTCGATGGGGGAAAAGAGAATGTACCACCTGCTAATGATGATATGATTTGTTCTGAGAAAGAAAATCTAAGCGTCAACAGAAAACACTCTCAACATTCGAATTCTCTTCGTTCAAATGAATCCACCGATTCACCTATTAGATATCTACCAAAAGTTGGACATGAAAATTTATCGATTAATAAAGTGTCTATAACACCTCAGAAAGATGCTGTCTCTTCAGAAATGTCTAAGGCTCAACAAATTCCTATTCTTTCAAATACTGACTGTTTAATATGGGCTGGAGCTGTTTGTGGACAAATGCAGTAAGTGAATATTCAGTTGAACTAATTACAGTAGTGTGTGGAATATTTCTGTGTGGTTTTTCCCATAATTTATAGATTTAATAATTATAGGTTGTATATTTTTGTTGTTATTTAGAAAATTCCGTCTCAACATAAGTTTGGTATAACTAGAATGCATCATTGAAGGTGATTATATGGAATATCCCTTTTTCGAGGAAACGCCACCTTTAAACGGTGGTGGGTATTAGGGCGTTTGAATAAATAGGCCAAAATATATACCAGCATAATTTCATGAAATTCCAAAAATATGCGTTTAACTTCTGATCTTACTGCATCGTTTAACCCACTACATTGTGCAGATACCAGTATCAAGCGATGTTTTTGCTAAAAGTGCAGCAAATGTAACGCAGTTCAAGAATATAATGCCACCGATAATATGTACGCCAGAAAAAAAATTTTAATGCAAAATTTCATTTAGAAAGCATACAAAAAATATAACTTACCATTAAACCACCACAGCAATGTACTAAAATAATAGTAATAATAATTAATATCATCAAATTATTAAAGTTGTTCCCTTGAGTTCCTAATGGAACATAGGACTTTAACAGCACATCTCCACTTTGTCCTTTTTTCTGCGGTCCTCTCCACCTGGGTCCACAATTACCCATAGTCTGTCGTCTCTTCCTGGCACAAGCTCCTTCATGTAACCTTCAGGTGGCCCATTCGTCGTCTCCCATTTGGATTCCACTCGAGCGATGGCCTGCACTGCTCGCTGTGTCACTCGATGGCCTCCTTGACGTCCACCTCCATTATCTTCTCCATATTTGTCGAGCAATGGGCTCTTGGTTAATTTGTTGCCAGCCAGACTTTCCTGTTGTTAATTCTTTCTGGTCCCCTGGCCATTCGATCTTCAATATGCAGCTAGCGAAGGTGGCAGCTGTTGTTAAAAGTATGCAGTGGTCTATTGGAATTGCTTTTGGTGACGCGCACACCAACTTTCTGACGCAGATTGAGGCGATGACTGACTTAACATTTGTGGTGAAAATCTGAATCTTGTTCTTTATGATGCTGAGTGGAGTGTAGAAGATCTCTAAACTGGTTTCAGATTGATGAAGGCGTGTCTTTTCCTTCCGATTCTGGCTGGTGCTGACATCTTCATCCTTGTTGTCCGCCTGTGTTTGAAACGATACTTCCTAGATAAGTGAAGGAAGTAACCTTATGTATATTTCTTCCGTTGATAGTGATTGGTGCTACTTGTTATTGGTGTTGGTTGGTAGGTTGGTTGTCTGCATCGCTTTCGTTTTCTCTATGTTCACCTGAAGTCCTGTCTTCGCTGTCTGTCTCGTCTCATCAGCCAGTTTGTTGGTTTTCGACTCCAAGTCTTCAAGTCTGTGTGACATTAAACATCGACCATTGACGAGATCCAGATCTTCTAGAGTCTTCTTATCGGTCCAAATTACTCCTATCTTCTCACTACCTATAATGTTACGCATAATCGAGTCCACCACAATTAGGAATATCATCGGTGATAACAGTTAGCCTTGTCTTACTCCTGCATTGGTTTCACTTCACGTGCTACAAAGCTATAGTTTGCGGGGGTTTTCAATAAAGCTACTCCGTCGTTAGTCTTTGTCGTTAGTTATCATAGTGCTCCCTGATTACATTCAAATTTATTCCTTTGTGCAGAAAAAAGTAAGAAAGTAGCGTTATATTTGTGTTAAGTCGACCTTTTGATTCTTTTGTGATAATCTTTTCTAAGAAGTCAGACGATGATATCTTCAGACTTACCCAGAAACTGTGTTATTAGTTGGTTCAGTTTTCAGCAGGAATGTTTCTCACTCAGACAAAAAATTTGAATGCTTCACGGTAAGCAGGCAATGGATAAAACGACTTTTAACTTGACTTTGACTGTCTGTAGATGTAAAACTACTTACAGAATGGAGGTCGGATAGAGGCAAAAATTGTCTATTGGAGTGATTTCCACTGAAAAGCGTTGCATGTATTTATTCACGATATTTACGGTGCAAGCGAGATACATAGGTGCCTACTGAGTTTGATTATGCAATCCACGGTCTGATATTAAGCATACGTGTGTACAAATAATTTTGCTACCACCGCCTTTATGGAGCAAGTTGTTGTTAGTGTTATTACTGCGTGAGGAATTCAAGAGTAAGAAAAGATGTACCACCTGGTGATACTGTGTGGCATGGTGTACCAGGTGAAGATATTTAGCGTCTGTCCACCATTCCATAATACTTTAAATTTTATCTCAATTGAATGAACATTTAGTTATATCGTAATGAAACCAAAGGAATGGATGTGTATAATAAATGTCTTGAATGTATAACAACTTTCCTTTTACTTAGTTCAATTGGCTATGGAGTGTCTTTTTCACTGTGGCATTTTCAGCCGCATCTATTTCACAATTGTTATGTAAAAATTGTTATGGTTAAAATGCAGTTTTGTAATTAAATATCTACTGATCAAGTCACTAATAGATGAATTAAGTTTACAATACATTTGAAAGTATTATAGTAATATCAAAGTAATAAATAAATACCTATTATTTACTTTTATTTCTTTTAAGGCGAAAGAGTTTCCTCATTAAACATAAAATGGATAAACCGGTCACATTGTCATTTGCTATTCGTCCTAAATCCGAAGTTTTCAAAGTGAGTATCTTTTATATTTCACTAAAGGGTAATTTCCCACTAGGTAAAATCACTTTTCGAAATAGTCTTTGCATTGGATAAGTGTATAGCCAGATTGACATAGAACCTTTCAGGGAATTACACTGACACAAGTTGCTAGACTTCAAAACAGAAATGTGATGATACTGCAATAAAGCACATGTATCACTAGTCTGATACTGCGACAAACTGGTCGAAGAAGCAGCAAAGACAGGACTCCAGGTGAACATAGACAAGACGGAGGTTATGAAAATAACCAACCAACAACAACAACACAGCAGCAGCAACATCCAGCGCCAATCACCCTCAACGGGATGGATTTGAAAGAGGTTACTTCATTCACTTATCTAGCGAGCATTGTCTCAACTACAGGAGGAACGGACGAGGATGTCAGATTGAGAATCGGGAAGGCGAGAAACACATTCATCAACCTGAAACCAATCTGGAAGTCTTCGTCACTCAGCCTGCATCAACAACAAAATTCGGATTTTCAATACAAACGTCAAGTCAGTCAGTTCTTCTTTACGGATCAGAAACTTGGCCAGTGTGTCACAAAGAATATTTCCAACAGCCTGTTGCAGACCTTTATCAACAACTGTCTTCTTTCTATACTGAAGATCAGATGGCCGGAAAGAATCACCAACAAGAAACTATGGGAAAAAACAAAACAAGAACCAATCGCTAAACAAATATGCAGGAGAAAGTGGAGATGGATTAGACACTCGCTGAGGAGGCCGCTGGGTGACATCGCGCGTCAGGCCAGTGCTCGAGTGGAACCCGAAAGGGAAGCGGCGAGTGGGACGTCCAAGGGTGACATGGAAGAGATCGTGTGCAGAGGAGCTGAAACAGTATCGACTTACATGGATGCAGGTGAAAAGTACAGCAGAAGACAGAAAGAAGTAGGAGACTTGCAGTTGAAACCCTATGTTCCACTAGGAACCCAAGGGAGCATTAATAATAATAATAATCACTAGTCTGATAGAACTACTAAGGATTCTCATACAGTAGTTAGGAATTTTAGTAAATCTAGCCGATTATGTATCGTCGTCATCCATAAACACCCCTGGACTCAAACTATCAGGTCTTCTTAAATGTATCTTTTTACTCTGGAGTCAATTTTCGCTACTTCGTGTATAGTTTGAGGTCAAGCAATAATCAGTTGCTGTGAGGCTATCGGTCGACTGAACCGCTCATCAAAGTATTGTGTTTAGTGACTATATCTTCTGTCCTACTAGGCTTTTAACGTTTTCACCTTTCTATGACATTTTTCACTATCAACAATTTTTTAGAACCTATTTGCCAAAGTGCTTGACAAATATTGCTGATGTCTTTTCCTGCGCTTTTCTTTTCTACACCTACCATTTCTGACCGTTGTTATGGAGACTTTCAATCAGTTTATGTATAAACATTTTTCGTTGCTACACGTGTTTGGAGGCAACTGGAATCAGTCTTCTAGCATCTAACACTTTCGGTGAAATCCCCTATTCTCTTACTGCTTTATCAACTGTCTTCACTGCTGTTTCCACAACAGACTAAATGCGATGTTCGTCCTCCTGATGAGGATTATCACTATCATGCTTAGTCAACTTCTCTCTGAATTTAAACCTAATCTCTTCATGTTAGGATGCAAGGCGTGTTTATCTTCTTCATTGAGTCAGTCTCAGATGTTTAGTTGCGTGATCTAACGCATAGTCAGTATTCATGCGTGCATTTTAGAAGAAGAGGTAGTCGTCCTTCACCACCTTTGTCATCTACGACTAGTAGTATACGTAATCTATATGTGTTCCTTGTTGATTTGATTAGTGGAAGTTACTTACACTACTTTTATGATAGCTGCTTAAAGCTTTACCGGAATCCATCCTACCTTTCTGACATTATTAAGCCTACAGAAACAACGCTCTCAACTTTTATAGCTTGTTGCAACATTACTGCACGTTAATCTGATTACCATGATCATGAGTGCAACGCTTGATCAAGGCAGGATAGACGATAACATTTTGATGACTTGTTTTATACTATTAATTTGTATATGAATGGTAAGCTTTTCATGTAGTCTTGAAAAGCAGATAAATTTTTGTTAAGACTGCAAGAGATAACTCCATTTTGTAGACTTGCATTGATTGAGGTCGAAAAAATACTTGTTTCAGATGCTGTCTCAATGAAGGTTCCTGCCTAAATTTCAATCATTACATATGAAGATGTCAGTTAGTTACGTCTACAGACTGAGAGATGAATAGTGACACATACTTGCTCATCTTTAGAGGTGACTGGTATTGTCTGTCTGTCTGTTTTCGACATAGAACTTTGCACATATGTGCGGCAGTTCAAGTCGCCACAATGCATGTAGCACGCAAAGCAAGAGAAGGAAGTAGAAGAAATGCAAAATAGAGACAGTAAACAGAGGTGTGAGACAAAGGAATAGTAATAACGGAGAACAAAGGTTTAACTGGAAATGATAAGTCACAAGGAGTGGATGCATCTGCGCCACTGAGAACGATTTTGAGCCATGTCGCCAATTGTTTCCAACCATTGGTTTTTACCATCCCGAGGACCCCAACCAGGACTGGTATTGTAATAAGGGGTGAGTATTTCGTCGTATTCAAGGCACGTCATCTGGAAATACGTGTTTGCCAGTGAGTAATGTTGTTCATAGTGGTGCTGAAACTTATATGGTTAGAGTATCTGTGTATGTCTACATTTTTCTTATAATTTCAGTTATATTTATAATATGTGGCTCAAATAATAACCATATTGTATATTGCGCTCTATGGGACTGTAATCGGTAAAGTTCTATGTTTTGTTATCTTTCGTGTTCTCACCTTCCATAAAGTTCAAAACTCCTGTGGTTGAATATGAGCACATTACATTGTAACCGAAATTATATGAATTCTGATTTTGTCCAGTTAATAACTTGTTCAGAAAAATCACCCTGTACTGTAGGCTTTTTGCTATTGTAAAAATTGGATTTTTTCTGCTTTCTTTTGGCATTAAGCTTGTTGATGAGAATGGTTATCTTATTACGGGGATGTTTCGTGTACATTTACCACCTAATCTTGAATATGAAGTTAATGTCGCCTATGTAGGCAAGCATCCAGTTTCTTGGGATTTTGCAAATTTAGTTTTTCGTTTAGAGGATGAAAGACTGACCCGTACATCAAAGGTAAGCTTTCTGTTTTAAAAGGGTTAATATAACACTGCACTCATTAATACTATACAATGTTGGTTGTTTGTGTGCTTAAGCAAAACGACGTCAAGGTTTTGTATTGTTTAATTGAAATGTGATTCGTTATCCAATTATATTTCATCTAGGGTTTTCGTTGTACGATTAGTGTTGTGATGTTATTTTATAAGTATATTAAAACCTCAGTTTCTGGTGTAAAGTTTCTTCCTGCAGAATTAGACGAGGCTAACCAGCTGCAAAAAGTTGGGAAAGATTTTGTCGAAGGAGTAATATACAGCTGACAGTTTCTAGTACTTACGAATTTTCAGTACATGGTTTCTCGTTGATTGCCCACAACCAACTATTTTTATTCCTTTACGTTCCCAGTGGAACATAGGGCTTCAAACTAGAGGCTTGAAGTTTCGTTAGCAGTCGTATTTATTTTTTAATGGGATGGGGTTGCTAGCCTTATGTCCAACCTTCTCTCGTTACCAGTCTTATTACTGGCTTAGAGAGGTAAATGAGTACATCGGCCGGGGATGGAACCCCGAACCACCTGCATGTTTGGCGAGCATTCTACCTCTGTGCCACCAACTAGTTAGCATAATGTCTTTTTTGAAGTCAACTATGCGGAATAGATTTTCTGTATCCCAGGTTAAGAGCCACAATTATCATATGTAGGCTGGCGATATTCTACCCATTTGCCCAGTTTGATATAGGTAGACCGGGACTGCAACCCTTAGCGCATAGGCTAAGAGCTGAGTACTTAAGCCACATCTCTACAGCTAGTATGATAGCGGTAACTTTTCGTGTAGACTTGAGTATGTCAAGACTTCATTCGACTTGTTGGATTTCTTGTGTAGAAGGTGGTGTTGAAAGTCAACCTAAAATACGCAAATGGCTATTATAGGTATCTTTGCAGTTTGAACGCATAAAATTGTTTACTGTATTATCACTCATGTTTCACAACTAGTTAGTAATTAGTACGCTAAATAAAAACTGCGCTTTAAATCTGGAAGTTGACTCGAAAATTCTTTTGTATGCAAGTCATTTGTAAGCTTTGCTGATCGTCTGAATGATATCCTATTTGATCATAGTAAATTTTACAGCTATTTCGTGCATTAGTAATCATGTTCCCCATATTGTAAGCTATCTAATATTCTTTATTGTGTAATTTGAACAGTTGTTTGTCTACATAACTTCAGATTACACTGTCATCCGTATTGCGGCTAAACTGTAATTGTTTCACTCATTTTCATGCAACTGAGTTGTATCCACTCTAGCAGACTTATTTCTTGCCTTCTACACACGCATGCGTCGGTGGCAGAGCGGTTAGGACGCTCGCCGACCATGCACATGGTCCGGGGTTCGATCCCCGGCCGATGCACTTCTTTACCTCAGTAAACCAGTAATAAAAATAAAAAGCTGGTAAAGAGGAAAGGTTGGGCATGAGGCTATCAACCCCACCCTGTAAAAATAAACACTGCTACAGAAACTTCAAGCCGTTAGCTTGAAGCCCTATGTTCCACTGGGAGCGTGAAGGAATTAAAAAAACACACGCACACGGACATAATGTAAACACACCGGTGACACTCATAAAGTGACGCTGTTAATCTCTCTTCATCTTTGTGGATATCTTGCAATGTCCATTACATTTTGGAAATTCATGCTGTTTGTAATTTCGTTGTATGAATCATCGTTCATTGAAAGTTTAAAGCAATTAATCAAATCTAAAGTAGGGAAAGTGCGTCGATGGCTCAGCGGTAGAAGCTCGCCAACCACGCATGTGGTCCATGGTTCGATCCTCGGCCGATGTACTCCTTTACCTCACTAAGCTGGTAGGTAATAAGACCGGTAAAGAGGGAAAGTTGGGTATGAGGCTAGCAACCCCACCCCGTAAAAATAAAACATCACTAATATCGAAACTCCAAAGTTCTTGCTTGAAGGCCTATGTTCCACTGGGAATGTAAAGGAATAAAGAAGAAAAATTCGTGGTGAAAATATTTGAATTTCTGTATTCGACAGTTGTAGTATATCTAAGAGGTATTTTATAGTTTTTACTATCAGTCTCAAAGGGATGCTAAATTCACCCTTAAATAGCCAAAAATTGATGGTGTAATTCATTTTATCACTTATGTCGTATTTGTGTCTTGATGCATCTTCAAGAAGTCTATCAAAATTTCTTTCTTTCTAATATCCAGAGTCGTTTTTAATAAAAAATCTGTGAAGAAAATTATTTAATTGAAATGATTATTGAATGTTTTACTTACTTTATAGTCCCTCGGTACATTAGTTCTTTTTTTTTACCTAACCATCATAAAAACATGAAGTTCTGTTTCCCGGGGAGACAGTTGTGATAGACATGTTGGTGGATAAACTACCTGTCATCCATGAGAATTCGGAACACGATTGTAAAGCCTGTAGGTTGAAAGTGAGCATTGATTTATTGCCCGTTCACGTTAAATATGATAAAAATTGGCTAACGCGATTATTTACACAGTAGGAACAAATCGATGAGAACACTCGGTCTGTATCAAAGTTTCTGCAACCTATTATTACAAATGCATATCCGTTCATCATGTGTATTGATTTGCTTTCTCTTTCTCTTCAGAGGTTTTATTAATAATTCAGATAGTTGTATCAGATAAATTTGATTCTCAGTTTCGACAGGTTTGGATTTTAAATCAACTCTATTACTGCATATTTCTGTTTTAGGTGAGACTAATCGGATATACAAATTCCAGCGAGTTAGTGTATTATTGTTGTTCAAAGTTAAGTTCTAATGTTTATTGGACTGTAGCATCGAAAGTCGATCC